GGGTCCTCATTTCACCCACCTCGGAAGGATGGAAGGCTGAGTCAACCTTGAACCTGGTGAGATTAGAACAGCCGAACTGCAGATAGCAGTCAGCTGAAGTGGCCTGCAGTACTGCACCCTAACCACTGCGCCACCTCGGCCCTTTCTTCCTTCCCCCTTCAGGGCATTGAAGTCTACCCATCTTAAAGTTACCAAACTTTTAAGTTGAAAGACACTGTTTTGTATGAAAGAGGAATTATCCTTTCCCACGTTTCAACCACTGTGCCGCTATTGAAAGCCAAGCCAACATACTTGAGCGAATCCCTTTCAGCCGTAACGGCTCCTCAATAAATATCCGGCTCTCCCTTCTTAGTTCGGAGTGCCCACTTTGGCATCCGAAAGCTTGGGCCTCCCCACCCTCTGCGTGGAAACCCCCCCCCCCCCCCATATCACCGTGCGTTCCTTGCTGGGAAAAGCTGCAGCTGAATGAGAAGCAGTGATTTAAGTGCTCTTTTGGCTGCTAATTCTCCCTCCAGCTTCCTGGCCCAACCACTCCAAGACCATCGCACGCCATTATCGTCCGTCGTCTGCACATCCATTCCTCCCTCTCAGCATCTTTTCCCTTCCCAGCGGAGTGGCGTCTCCCCCCCTCTTACCTTTCAGGCAGGAGATGTTAAGGCCCATGGTTTCATCCTTTTAATCAGGGGGGCAAGTCAGAGGCCGAAAGATCCGCCACTGCGGCTTAGCTTCATGAAGGCTGGAGGGGGGGAAAAAAGGAGATTTGGGGACAGTTGTTGAAGTTTGCAAACAAAGGCAACTTTACAGTGCAGTTTTCAAAAAAACTCCCCGTCTCAAGGCCCTGGGCGGACTCAGCTGTCTTGGGAAAGAACAAGAACAAACCCTGCCTCAAACATTTGGAGGCCAGCTCTTCTTTTGTGGAAAGCTTTCTCCAACCTTCCCTAATCAAGAGTTTTTCCTTCCTTCCTTCCTNACATTGGCCTCATGGGCGAACCACGGGAATGTTACATTTTGTCTCTCTCCCTCTCTCCCCCCCTCCCTCCCCCTCTCTCTCTCCATTCAATTCCGCAGCTACTACGATTGTTGGCTGAGCAGGGACAAAAATAGCCAGGGAAATGATTGAGGCCTGGGAAACGGGGCGCTTGGGAGTGTTGATTTTACCTGCAGGTGATCAGATACTTAGGCGCCCGAACAGCAGCAGCAAAGAAACAACAATCAAGTGACTTAATAACTAGCCATCAACATCATAATTAACATAAAAGGAGGTATAAATACAACACATAGAATTCCCTGTGCATATATTCTGGAGAGAGAGAGAAGTTCTCCGATGATGGGCTCCAGCCCGAAACTGAAAGCTTGGAAGAATAAATCTTTGGTCCTGATGGCAGAGTCAGATTAAATCTTTTCCCCTTCTCCTTCTCCTTCCCCTTCTCCTTCTCCTTTCCTTTCCTTTCCCTTCCCCTTCCCCTTTCCTTTCCTTTCCTTCTTTCCTCCCCTTCCCCTTTTCCTTATCCTTTCCCTTTGGTTTGGCATCCACAGGTGCTGCAGGAGACTCTGCCATGCCGATTCCCAAGAATCCCTGCCAAATCTGGTTTTAAGTAGGCAAGGAGGAGGGAGACAGCCAGGCTGTGTGGGTGTGTGTTTGCGGATGTCGTAGGTGGCTTTTGGCTCGGTTTAAGGCAGCCATAAAACCTCCTTGCTTAGAAAGCCAAGCTGGGATGAATGGTGCCCAATTTTTCCGGAAGGAAAAGAATTGTGCCCATCCAGCCAGTTTTCCATTAGCCAAGCAGTTCCACTTCACTGCTGAGAAGACACGTTTTAGAAAGTGGCTTTGCCATTTCTGCTGCACAAAAGTCCAGGGAAACGCACAACCTTCCAAACTACACCCAGAGATTGTCGATCCTCTCCTTGGTTCTGGGAGAAAGTCATTTAAAAACAAAACCCCAGCGCACGATTTCCCCCGGACGGATTGAAGGCGCTTAAATGCAGACGTAAATAAATAAATCCGTCCAAACTAAACAACTCTTCAGCCAAAGGAAACAAGGCGAAATAGAGGAGAGGAAGGGACTGAAAACCGAAAACAAAATAATGACTGCTTTGCAGAAGACAAATTGCCACCCTCTGGGCCCCCAATAATTAATGCTTAGACTCCAGGTCAGCCTAGCTGAAATGAAGGCCCTCTGCACATGTTTAGAAAAGAGGCTGTAGGGTCTTCGTGTCTGCCTGAAACTTTAGGAGGCTTTTTTGAGAACTTTCTCTAATCTCTAACTAGTTAGTCAACGTCTGGAAATGCCTCCCTCCTTTCTGTCTGTCTCTCTGTCTTTCCTTCTTTCCTTCCTTTCTCTTTGTCTCTCTCTCTCCCTCTCTCTCTCCCTCTCTCTCTCCCTCTCTCTC